AGAGGCCATTGATTCCCTTCCCCCTCTGGACCATATGCATTTAAAAATCCGCTCGGTGCTATTTCCGGGTCGCGAGGCGGAGTTTGTGTATTTTCGCTGGGTTTCCAGATTAATTGAGGGGCTGGGGCTCGTGCCATCTGACGCAAGTTTTAATATCTCGGCCTTGATTAAACAGTTTTGATCCAGGCTGCTCGGGGATTTAATATCGCGGGGAGAAGGGGGGGGGGGGGATTCGTGGCTCCCTCGAGCTCTCTGTTTTAATTCGGGGGTTCATCTTAGTTGACCGACGTTTTGCCGGATGCGGGGGATCCGGCGAGACCCTTCATTAATGAAGTTTCTCCTTTTTTTCACAGCGTTTGAACTTTTCGAACGCCCGTGACCCCGACCGATCCCTCGGGTCCATACGAGCCGTCACTCAAACACGAAGAACTCGGAAGCAGTCCTGAAATCAAGGCGGAAACGAGACTCTCGGACTATTGGGAAATCGAATTTTCGAAAAACAAAAATGGCAATACGAAATCATTAAAAAGTCAAAAACAGGTTTTGATTTGAGTAGTCCCGGCTCACTCAAGCCAAATCGAGGGACTATCGACTGTCGATGGAAACAAATGCGAGCATCCGGCTAGCGACATCTGTTGTTCATTCTTGGAACTGGGAACTCGCCCGTGTCTCTCCTAGGGGTCTCCAGGGTCGAGGCCTTCCTTTTCACGCTTCTTTTCGCATGTTAAGGAATTGTGTGGGAGTACAATAGAATGGAGTACCTGTCCCATTCGCGTCTCTTTCTCTTGGAGTGCATCTTTGTCAGCGTGGAAGGATTCGATGTGATGTCATCCATTGCGCTTCCCTCGCTCGTCGTTTCTCTCGGGCAAAGAAGTCGAGGGGGGGTGAAGGGGTTGGAGCAGGAATTTTTTTTTTTTTTCCTCGTTTGAATTTTGCTCCTTAGAATTTTTGTTTTCCAACGTGAGCTTTTCGGGCTGGAGCAATTGATCTGAAAATGTGTTTGGGACTCGTGTCATTCGAGCTTGATGTTTTATTTCAAAATCCTTGGGGTCGTCTCGCCTTCGGGGAACTGCGTCTTTGCCCGAATGGCCGTTAGAATCCACGCCTCCCGCATAACTTTAAATCTAGAATAATGAAATTCGGGATAAAAACATGCGTAGTGCCCTTGAGACGGGTCTTCAGGATTTGTCAAAGCCGAAGCGGATCCCAGAGGACTGGAGTAGATTATAATGGGTGCTGTGAAATGGACCCGAACGTAATGTGCATCCCTAACAAGTTGGGAGTAATGGGGCGGGTGTGATGGATGGAGATCATACTATCTCTCACAATCTCCCCTTGAATGCTGTAAAAAAAATGTAATGGATACTATATCCATTATATATCCATTACCTGTCGAGGTTCGAAGGATGTTTTAATTTCCAGGTGTCACGCAAACGGAAACATCGATAAATGCTCAAGCGATTCCGTGCACTTTTTCACTTTTCATTTCCCTCTGAACTATTAAGTAGTTTCTTAGGCATCTTTCTTTCTTAAGCATGGAAATGAGGCAGAAGAAAAAAAAATTTCACTTAAAATATTTCAGTCTTGCCACTGAGGTGGCAATCGGCGTTTGCACTTTCAGGCATCATCCTCCCTGAGAAAGCAAGGTACCATGGTGAAGATAGGCAGAAGCTGTGGGTTCAGAACGATACCGAAGAGCCCAAGAGGAAGACCCGAGGAAGTCTCTACAGAGAAGGCCCGAGGAGGCCTCTACTGCCGAGACCTGCGGGTCTTCGCTCCTCCGCAGTCGGTTCCCGCCTTCCGTCAGGATGCGACGCCCCGGGAGTCGAGGGCGAGGCTCCTCTCGGGTATCTTGGCTTCCAAGGGATGGAGAGTCGTGGCAGGTGAAGTTTCATCGTTCAGAACGACAGAAAGGCGAAGTACGAGTATGAATGTCCCCCTTCATCCCCTCGACAGGGAGAAGAAGGGGACTAATCCACCCACAAAGCACGACCCGAACTCGAAAAACGTAATATCCAACACACTCATTCGAAGAAACGATCACGTGGGCAACCTGGTGGTAACCTGGTGGCAACCTGGCGGCAACGTGGAGGCAACCCGGTGGATCAGGGGATGCCGGGACCAGCGACGAGCCTCCCTGCGACGAACACCGCCTTGATGTTCCTGTCGTCCCCGAGCATGAGGACCTTGTGGACGAGCTGGTCGGGGGAGCCGGCGTCCCAGAAGTCAACGCCTGGGTCGGGGCTCAGCACCAGGGCGTCGAACGCCTTTCCCTTCTCGATGCTGCCGATCTGGTCCTCCAGTCCCGCCACTTTAACGGGAATCGGGGTCGTGAGTCGGGATTCCATCTGATGTGGCAAGATCGACGCGATCCGACGCGAGTTCCGCTTAGGGACGCGAACGCCTGCGAGATGGCACTCGGATCGCTGCGCATTTCGCGGTCGAGCGATTTCGCGTTCTCTTCGATGCTTTCATGCGGATTCGTGGGAGTGCGATCGGGGCCCTGCACTATCTCGATTTTGGCAGAATTGCTGCAAAAATATCAAAATGGGTTGAGGATGCTGCGATCATCGTAGCGATACTTCGGGAGAAAGTCTGCCAGATGGTCCAGAATATTGCAAGTGGGCCATCTGGCTTTTCCATCGGATCTTCCCGTCCGCGATTCCCGTTATCACTCGGTGAGTGACGCACTGCAACCATTCTCGGAACACGGGAATAACAAATGTCCGATTTAAAGCCTTCTCGAAAGCTATCTCAGCCCGATATCCAGCCAAGATCGGATGGATCGAGACGGCACCGCGACGATCGGCGATGCATTTCCGGAATCTAGGCAACGGGAGACCCGCCAATTCGTTTCGGACGTTTATTGCGTCGCCGTTCCTGCCTCTCCTGTCCTCTCGTGTTCAGACTCTACACTTTCTAGTTGCGTGTAAGCAGTGAAGATGTCGCGGCTGCGTTTGGTCGCAACCGTATGCGAACGGACGTCCGGTCAACGCGTCTCCCGCCGGCAAACACCTGAACTCGGAATTAAAGTTCAACCCCAGCCTCCCCAAGCCCGCTTTCAACGTGAAGAAACGCGAGTGGTCCGTGCCCTAGAACATTCCCCGTACGGCAGGTGTCGATCCCTGCCCTTTCCCGTCCCTTTCACTGCCTTGAGCGGCCCTCACTCGATCATAAGCGAGTGATGGCATCCCCGCCCATCGGTAATGAGTCACGGGCTCGTGGGAAACGTGGTCTAACCCTCGCACGCCTCGACTTAACATTCACCCGGCGTCGCCCGAGCCCTTCGCACTCCCCTCACGCGAAACCTCTTCCCCTGACACCACCGCCCCACCGCTTCCCCAATCTGACAACACTACCTCACCTCTGGCGCCTCCGATGGTGGCCAGCGCGAAGCAATCGTCCAGCGTGAGCGCCTCGCTCTCTCCCGCCTGCAGACTCAGCAACTTCGAGATCTCCCACGCCTGCCGCATCGCGTCCAGGATCGACGACGCGCTCCCGCCGGACATGTCTGCAAGGCGGAAGAGTCATAGGTGAGGAAAGTCCTTGGTGAGGAAAGTCCTTGAAAAGATCACGGTTGCGGTCCACCCGAGCTCGCTGAAAGCCGCAAAGCCGCACATTTTCCGTTTCATCCGCATGCCATTTCCAGAAAATGAATTTTAAAGAAACTCATGCATCTATGCACGAGAACATAGCATAAAATGCAACGGAGACAATTCCATTCTTATCCATTTCTAGTTCCATTCGACTTCCATTCAGGTGAAAAGTAGGTTATAAAAATTAAATAACTAAATCAGTGCGAAGTGGTACTAGTATTAGTACCGGCTGGAAGGCACATTCCAAGGAACTGTAATGGGATTTCATTAGTGAAGAAATAGTAATTTTCTTTCAACTCGAATGAAGAAAATCTTTTCGGCATTTCAGAGCCAAACAGAGTCAGCAGCTGGGGAACCCTGCTTGAGCAAAGAAATCCAACTGGTCCATTCACAATAGGTGAACTGAAACTTCATGAAAAATACTCAAATGGAGAAAGGGCATAGAATCCAGACCCTTCATACGCGCCTACCTTTCTTATTCTATTTCAAGTCATGAGCTGGATTCTCGATCCAAAGGTGCTAAATATCTAGATTGTCCATGATATTCGTGGGCCTTCCTACTGGTGAAACATAATAAGATTGCCAGATCTTGGTAATGCAGTCTGCAAAAAATGGACAGTCGAGGGCCCAACTACCTTCCGTCCCTCTCAGAGAATTTACAAGCCGCCGACAGCGGTCGCCAATTCCGGACAGAATCGCCTCTCCTCAAAGTTTTAGAGCTATTGCAGGGTCCCCTCGGCCTCCCTCAGCCTCCCGCCAGGGCTCGCCGACCCCGACAACTGCGACTCATACTCAGAATCGGCCTCGAATAATGCATTCGTGAGATTCGAAACCAAATAGAGTCCTTCGACCGACGAAACCTTCACCAGTTGACTGTTGAAGGCAACAAAAAAAAGCCGGCGAAAACTCCCCTCACGTGCCATGTGGAAACAAGGGAAGGTGGGATCGGTTGAGCGGCCGTGAACCTGGAAGTCGCACGTGACTCGCGTCCAGGGGCCGTGCACCGCTCCCGGATGAGATGGGATGTTGCATCTCGGATGAGATGGGTTGTTGCATCCCGGATGAGACGGAGAGGGTCTTCGTCCTTTCCACGTCCCATTCAAATCGTTTAGTCTCTTATCACATTTGGGTAGGGAACATTCCGGGATTGGGATTCCTTCGCGTCGAGTTTGCGTGTAGAGATCGCTGATTTGGTAAAGTCGCGTGGCGGACAAGTGGATTTGAGATTTCCTTGTCTTTTTCCTTGCCTTTCTGGGATTGTCAAGCTTCATGATTATAAAATGCATTGATGACATGGAGCGTGGTAAGTTTTTCCAACTCGAAGGTAACATCAAAATGAGGACCCCACTGAAGCTGCATAAACACGAAGTGGGGCTAAGGTTCTTGAGCGAATCCATTATTTGCAGGGTGGTGAATGCGTGGAACGACTCAAGTTATCCTGTCTTTGCCTTTCCATGAGTAAATTCCAGAGGAATTTCAGGCCTTCGGGGACGAAACAAAAGAGGGAGCCATGTATCTGTTATATCCTAGGTAGAAGATTTTATCTCCCTACCAAAATCATTCATCTTTAAAAGGAGCATGTCGATCTTATGCAATGTGAACGCTCGACCTCGACAAGGGTTGTCATGATGGACAAAAACATCCCTCTTCGAGTTCTTGCCCTAGCCTTGGACCATGGACCTTGAACCTGTCATCTGGATCCAAAGGGTGCCTCTATCCAGGAAATGTCAGCTCCTCCGCCCAGAACTTCGGTTCACCGGTTTTCAAGGCTTTTGAAATTTGTATTTCTTCGACCCTCTTGCAATCCCCCCCGGGCCCCATCCGGTGGGGCAGCGACATGTCGACACTCTGAATGCCCTCGGAAGATTCTCCGCCTCCGCTCTCTCGTGTCCGTCGGCTCGTTCACTCAAAAGCGAAACTCATCCCTCACAACTGACGCATGCCGAGCCCACATTCCCGAATCCAATCGACCGACATGCACCAGAGGAATGCGAGATGGCATCCAGTTGGAGGTCAGATGATTTACGTCTGGCTGATTTCAGACTGGATGATTTCAGCCTCGTCCGTACGCGGTGGTAATCTGTTTTCCTATGATCATGTCTCCATATGCCCTTCGACTCGACAGTGCCCTTCATAATTTTACTTGCATGAACGTAATTCCAGCCTTCCCCGAGGCCCTGTCCACGGCGATCGTAAATCCATATACTTGTGCGTCTCCCTCCAAGACGCAAAATGTTCCGGTGCTGGTATACAAGAGAGACCCCGTGATTTACTGCCGGTTTCGATGACGATCACATATGTCACTCTAGATATTAAAATGTGAAAATTAAATTAATGATGACGCTTCTTCATAATCACAAAATGAGAAATGCTGGAATCATGAGCTTGACCTGAAAGGCCTTTGCAAAGTGTCAGACGTGAGTGAGATCACGTTCAGTGGAATTACGGTTAGTGGAATTTTTTCCAAGTATCTCTTCTTGAATTTTCGCGATGTCCTTTCATTTCTATTTTATTTATTTATTTATTTACAACTGCGCTGTTTCATGGGGCAAGAGATGTCTTCTATTCTCTCTTCACTTTTTGTCGTCCCACCTAGCCCGAAAGGAACCCTGTAATGTTTTCGCGATATGACGCATAAGTGGCGGTTTAGAGCCAGCTAATAGCACGATGAGGCAGTCTTCGCAGAAGGCATCTCACTGTAATTGCTCGGGTGGTTAAATTATTAGGCAGACTCAGAACCACCAAGCCCTTCTGGCTATTTTCTCTTCTCCCGCATGCGAGCCAGTTCTACAGCAACGCTGACTTCAACATGCTTTCCCACACTTCCAAATCCGCTCTTAACGACGCCGGCGACATCTATCCTCCAACGGAGGAAAAGCTAGCTCTGTCGCGCGCGGGCAGAATCCTCGAAAACCATTACCCCGACAACCGACAAAAAAAAACCAAACAACCCTAAAAGCCAAGACCACGCCCAACGCCAAAGCAGAAACAGAAGAGAAACAGTAGAGCAACTGACCTGTGCCAAGCCCAACCGGCACTCCCTTCCGAAGCAGACGCCTGACGTCGCACATCCCACTCGTCAGCTGGGAGTTGGACCTCGGGCAGTGGGCTATCCCCGCTTTCCGCTCCTTCACCAGCTCTATCTCGTCGTCGTCCAAGTAGATTCCGTGGGCCAGGATGCACTGGGAGGAGGAAGATTGGTGATAATTTTTCACGTCTTAAGTAATTGTTGCTCGATATTCAATCATGAAAATTTTGGGTAATTCTTGATTGGTAAGTTATTTCAATGCCACTGGGTGGGATAATCTCGAGAAAATTCCAGAGCTCGAGGTCCCTGAAGGAATGAAAACTCATAATCTCTTCAGAGAGAAAATGACTAATTGATTATATTTCACTGCAGTTTCGAAATGGCGGGAAATGCCTGGGTGGCGACACACGCGCTGGTAAAACATTTGATTTTTTAAAATAGACTTTTGCAATTGATTAGTGGTTGATAAAATAATTGATAAAATAATAATTTTGAGGAGTAATGGTTGATGATCATGCCAAGCGTCACAATTAAGCGTCTAGCCCTGAGTAATGTCAGGGTCGTGCAATTACAGTAATTGCATCAATTGCAGCATGAAAGCTCGCAGGATGTTTTTGGATTGCCAAATTGAATTCCGAGCTGGAGAGTCTTGCGGACTCCGTGAATTATACAGCATGCCAAAAACTGAGCAAAATTTGGTGGTTTTCAGAAGAAGCGAGATGATAAGTGGGAGCTTTGGGTCTGCCTGCAGAAATTGGATTTTCCAAATTTATTAGCGAAGGAGAAATAACATCGGATTCTGGATTTTTTTAAATGTTAAAGATTGGCGTTAAGGAACTGGCAGTCCTTGAATTAGCACTAATCAACATCGTTCGTTGTTTTCCCAAGGTCATTACTGACTCTGAAAATATATTTGTAAAAAAAAAAAAAGATTGTCCAGTCAGGTTGCGATCGGGACTGTAGGTCGGTATTTGGGTTTTGGATTACTTTTCGTGCCTTCAGTGCTAGACGAGAGCATCAGCATTCGAATAAGGTACACATAAAATTAAAAAAAATTAACCCCTGGATTGAAATTTCGCTTTATAATTATTGCTAGGGGCCTCGAAGGAGGGCCCAAGAGTCAATTTCCGAGACTCAGAGGTCATCGGTGTGAACAGGAAGTAGGGTCAAAGGTCACGATTTCGATGGGTCCCTTCAGAAGCTTTTATCTCCGGCATCGTTCCACGCAGAACTTTGAAATTAGTCTCATTCTCTTCCTTAGACTCGATTCTAAACACTAAAGAAAAATTCTTGATGATGCTACCACGGGTTCCGAATGGGGAACGGATTTTGCAAAAATCTCGTCTCATTGAGCCTCACGTTTGCCCCACCCAAATCCGTTGTAAGTGACGCCTCGAGAAATCCATATGCATCATGTCCATATGCATCATGTCCATACGTTTATGCATCATGTCCAGTTGCATCTCCATGCAATGTGGTGTTCAAATCTTATTGACAGTTTTTCGTGCCATTTGAAAATCCTCTCGAAAATTACGCTTTTTTATTTTAGCTATTTGGAACTTTGGATCCGGATTACTCGGGAACGAAAAGGAGATGTTACGATTTTTGTGCACCGATATTTAGAGACGACTGTCATGAAGAGCTCTGCACATTTATATGCCAATATATTCATAATTCTCTGATTTATAGTGATTTGACTGATGTCAAGTCAACCCTGTAGGAATCGTTCGCGTTTTTCCCCGCATGCCTCCTCCCTCGCATAACACGCAAAGCTGCTTCCGCGCATCATGTGGCAGAATTATCCATGATTCAGATGGTACTCGAATCGTCTTTCTAGGATTACGGGTTATCAAGTGGTGGGACTTTATCCTCGTTCTGGTATATGCAAATTGTAGCAGACGACGCACAGACGATGCACTCGTTTATATTTGCTGTGGTTCACCGTGTCCACTTCCCGAAGGTCCATGTGAGATTTAAATAAATAAATAAATAATTCGGAACATTTATCTATTGCAGTTATTTCCTATCGAAATTTCTTCGTTGATTTGAAGGATGCAGGGAAGAAAAAGAGAATATTTGTTGGTAATTTGAATGAAGCCTTGCTTTTCATTAGTTCATTACCTGATTTGGAAGAACGGAGATCTTGTCGATGTAAATATAAATATACGCGGTAGAAACGTCTGCCAGCAGTATTCATACCAATAAGCAAGACTTTCTCGAAGCAGACTGAACTGAATTGCTGAATTTACGCTAAAGAAGTTTCGGGGCTGCTGAGCGAAGCTCAAAATGGTTTTGGAAAGATGCATCCATCAATGATAAGGGAGTATCAACCCTACGCTATCTACAATTATCCATCTTCAGCATGGAACTCACTTCTTAATTGTGCCTTTGTACACAAGACATGAATTTCAGAGTGATAGAAGCACAGGTGGCGATTTGTTGAGAAATATGCGGGGGCGCGGACAGAACTCTTGCAAGTATATATTCTCACGTCCTTGCTGTCCTCGTTGTGAGCCCCCTGCTGCCAAATTTTTTTTTTTTTTGGGGGGGGGGGGGGGGGGGCTCGAGCCCCCTTATGAGCCCCTATGAATCGTCGCCTATAGACAGAAGCACCTGTATCTCTTCTCCCGATCTCGTTTGGTCCCCTATCCCTAACGCTGACCGTGAATAACATGCAGCTTTAGATGGAACACAATAACTTCTACTTCGTATCTAGCTGAGCTTCGTACCTAGCTCATCGGATGTGGACGGAGAAGAACCATATGCAAAAATTCATGGTTGACTATCACCTACATGAAATAGGATCAGGAGGGAAAAAAATCCATACGTGGTATTCAGTTTATTTTACTAGTATTTCTCAAATTTTGTTTAATATTTTTCCCTGACGAACTCTACAAAAAAAAACACCACCGAATCCTAGTTGCATTCTGGAAGACATAAGTGATATCAACCTAGAAGATAGTCAAGAATGCTGAATCCGTTTTCTCGCCCTTGGTTCTAACAAGGCAATACCACAGGCACAAGGAATAGCCTCATATATGCTCTTTCTCCTAGAGTTTCAAGCATTCAAGGACTTCACGAGAAATTTACCCGGGGAACGCGTCAAGTGTCCGAATCTGGATTTTCAGCTACGCGTCCCGTGAACACTTCGGAGTGTACACATTCTTTTCTGGCGAAACAACGATGGAATAAATAAATAAATTACTCATTCCAACGTAGAAACTGCACTTTCAAAAGCCACTAGAGAAACGGTGGCCGGAAGAAAAATACTCGTTACTTCTCTCATTCATGTTAGCGGCGGGAATTATCAGCAACTCCATACAGCTGCACTCACGCAGTCACTGCATACATCCCCCGACGACAAAGCTCGTAATTCCGTTGAGGAGAAAGCCTTTGCATTACTAAATAAATCTCATTGGAAGTAAAAGTTTCTTTTGTGGTTGACTCAGTTTTTCATGTGCAAAACTGGTTATATGAAAGTTCCATATACAGCAAGCGTGAATGCGACCAGTGAAAATAGGACTGCATTTAGCACACTACATGAAGATAGGGTTTCGAAGAGCGAAAAGGTAGATGGGAAGAAGAAAAGAAGTATGTCCCTGTCCCAGTCAAACGTCCAGACGGCGAGACATGGGGCGAGAAAGCGAGTGCCAGACACGTCCTGGCACGAGAGTCTAGGGGGAGGGGAGGGGGTGAAAGGGGAATAAAGAGAGAGAATGTGCAAGAGGATGTGCGTGAATCTTGTCGTCTACTCATGCTGCTTTAGGCGGGAAAAACAAACTTCAACGTGGATAAAGTCCCACCTTTCGATAACCCGTAATCTTAGAAAGACGATTCAAGTACCATCTGAATCGTGGATCATTCTGCCACATAATGCGCGGAAGCAGCTTTGCGTATTATGCGAGGGAGGAGGCATGCGGGGGAAAACGTGACCGATTCCTGCAGGATTCTCCGACTTGACATCAGTCAAATCACTATAAATCAGAGAATTATGAATATATTGGCATATAAATGGGCAGAGCCTTTCATGACAGTCGTCTCTAAATATAGGTGCACAAAAATCGTAACATCTCCTTTTCGTTCCCGAGTAATTCGGGTCCAAAGTTCGAAATAGCTAAAAGGGAAAAAAAGCATGATTTTCGAGAGGATTTTCAAATGGCACGCAAAAACTCTCAATAAGATTTGAACACCACATTGCATGGAGATGCAACTGGACATGATGCATAAATGTATGTATGGATTTCTCGAGGCGTCGCTTGCATATGATTTGGGAGGGGCAAATGTGAGGCGCAACGAGACGAGATTTTTGCAAAATCCGTTCCCCATTCGGAACCCGTGGTAGCATCATCAAGAATTTTCTTCAGTTTTAAGAGTAGAGTCTAAGGAAGAGAATGAGACTAATTTCAAAGTTCTGCGTGGAACGATGCCGGAGACAAAAGNAGCTAAAAGGGAAAAAAAGCATGATTTTCGAGAGGATTTTCAAATGGCACGCAAAAACTCTCAATAAGATTTGAACACCACATTGCATGGAGATGCAACTGGACATGATGCATAAATGTATGTATGGATTTCTCGAGGCGTCGCTTGCATATGATTTGGGAGGGGCAAATGTGAGGCGCAACGAGACGAGATTTTTGCAAAATCCGTTCCCCATTCGGAACCCGTGGTAGCATCATCAAGAATTTTCTTCAGTTTTAAGAGTAGAGTCTAAGGAAGAGAATGAGACTAATTTCAAAGTTCTGCGTGGAACGATGCCGGAGACAAAAGCCTCTGAAGAGACCCATCGAAATCGTGACCTTTGACCTTTCTTCCTGTCCACACCGATGACCTTTGAGTCTCGAAAAGTGGCTCTTGGGCCCTCCTTCGAGATCCCCAACAATAATTATAAAGCGAAATTTCGATCCAGAGGGGTACATTTTTTTTATTTTATAAGAACCTTAAATGGCTCCTGTCGTTTTACCTCAATTTACTGTCGGCAAGAAGTTCCCCAGCTTCACACTTTCACTTCTTCGATATTACTGGAAAGTCAAGGACGAAACTTGGTACACGCCCACCAAGAGGTCCACTGGGAAGGAAGTACGGCTGACAATTTTGAGGATTCTGCATACCTGAGAAAAAGCCTATTTTACGGTCCGATTCTACCCATAAGGTAAAGCGATATCACTTCTGAAAAAAAAATTAAATAAAATCTTTGTTGGAATCCTGATCATTCTACAGTATTGACCAAAAAAAAAAAACGAACACCACTCGAAATTTTGCTACTAAATCCATATACGTGAACGGATTGACTTGAAAGCTTGATTGAACGTTGCTAAATATTTTCTTCAGGAGCTGTTAAAATTCCATGTACCTGCAACTAACCATTCTCGAGTCATGGCAGATTCGGTCGAAATGTTTAGTCGCACGCTGGTTCGCTCGATTCCGAGTAAACAAGCATGCTACTGCCGTTGCAAGGCACGAATCCACATTTGCATGGGAATTCCTGAAATTGAGGCACATGCATGACAATTTCAGACGGTGTAACACTTTTCGCAACGTTCCGTTAAGTTTCCAAGATGATTCGTCCACGGGAACAGATTTTTTAAAGCTAAGATCGATCGTGGATCCATGCCTCGCGTGCCTGTTCACACTGAATTTTTATAATTTCAGCAAAATCTGCGATATCTCAAGAATGGGTAGTTGCAGACGCATGAAATTTTAACAGCACCTGAACAAGTCAAGCTACGTTCCATTAAAATTTCAAATCATTCCCATTCGGTACAACAACGTTGTGTCAACATTGAGAAAAAGTTGAAACGTTGAGACTTTGTTGAAGTTGAGAATTCGACGAAAAATCAACGTCGATGAAAGGCTAACTATTCGTAAATTACCGTATTTTCAGCTTTTTGTGACTACTCGTGAATTAGGAAAGTCGTTCAGAGGATATTGGGAGCAAATTCATTTTTCGTCGTATACTCAATGTTGTTTGGAGTTATCGTGGAGTTATCTACATCGTGTCAACAGAAAATAGGTTTCACGAATCGACGCGAGACGGCGCCTAACCGCCGATTCTTACCCTGATGCCCGAAATATACAGTACCCTGCATTTTTCATACAGTACACGATCTTTTCCCATTTACAACATAAGGGACGGTATAGGAATTTCTAGATAGACCTGTTTAAGGAGGTAATCAGGCAGAAGGAGACTGAAAGTACTTCTGCCCAGTGGGTCCGAGGAGACGCAATCAATATTCCTAAATCTCCACAGGGCACGTGCATTCACTGGAACTCTTCCGTAGAGGATAGAGCACGAAAACATGCCCGTGGGGTTGTTTCAGTCTACTGAGCAGAGAGAGTTGAGTCATGCAAGAACCCAACTTGAATTCTGATTCAGAAAAGGAAATAAGACTTTGAGGGTCCTTTACGTGGGATGATTGCATCATACCATTTGGGTACTCTCCGTGGGGTTATCGAATCTGTACTCGATCTCATCGGCTAATTAACGCTCTTTCAGACTATGGATAATGGAGGCCATATAATACCCGTACGTTGACAAATCAACATTGTCACAGCGTTACACAGCAACACCTCTTCAACGTTGAACTGTGTTTCACTTCAACATCGGGGCAACGTTGAGACATGTCAAATTGAAAAATTAACCTTTTCCCAACATTGAGGCAACATTGTTGTGCCGAGTGGGTTCCCTTCGAAAATAATGATTTTAGAGGAAAATTTTCAAGCGACTTACTTTATTTTTGCCCAACCCTGTATTTACATTTGTAAATACAGGGTTGGGCAACAGGGTACATTTTTTTTACATGGTAAGTACATGGTTGTATCATCTGTTGGGAAGAAGTGCATTCGGCCGGGGAAAAGGAGAGTGACAACCCTTCTTGATACCCGGACATTTGTATTTGCTACTCGTCTCAGCTTCATTGGAAATACGTGACATGTTCCGAGGATTAGGTCTTTATTTTTCTCCTTACTGCCTTATCCCATCTTGTCCATCCCTTTCACTCGCCGCAACTTCTCTGGCTCGCTACTCTTGCCCCCACCCCCCCTTACCCCCCCGGTCACCCCCCCAACGTATATTGATTGATTCCTCTTCGACGACCTCTCACCTTGCTGTCAAAGAGTCCCGCTCTCTTATAGACGTCGGCGTAGCTTGAAGCATCGGGGTACATGCGTCTCACCACTTCCACCTCCGACTTATTTTCGCTTATGTGCGTCTGAAAAATAACAAATACAATAATAGATAATTCATTGTAAGTCAATGCCCTACTTCATTCCTTTTTGAGCGAAGAAGCAAGGCGCTCCCTCATCTTCCCGTGAAAATCTTCCAAGCCAATTTGTTGTGCCGTGAATATTTAATAAGTAAAATCCAGTATACAATTAAAGCCAAAGAAAGGGCTCATCATTCGAAGACATCATCCAGCCACTTCGAATAATTAAAGATAGTTACAAGCGTCATGAATATGGTGGATTTTTCTGCAGTCCAGATGCAATTTGACGGGCCTGCGGCAGGCTGATATGAATCTAGTCAAGAAAAAGATGTGAAAGCAAAAAAAAAAAATCAGGGAAAAATCCGTACAGGGTGTTTCGAAAGCCATTCCCCTTCCTCCGAGTTCGGGTAAGGAAGAGGAAATCTTTCCCATTTTGTCCATTTTTGCACATTATGGCAACCCGTGTCAAGGTCGAGCGTTCAAATACGACAGACCTACCCCGCTCGAGAAGTCTCTTGCGAGAGCATGTCGACTGCTTAGTTAATTATAGGTAGATAGCCCCTTTCTGTACTTCATCGGTAAAGTCGTCTACCTTCTGAGATCTGGGGTGGATTTTTGAACAGAGCACTATCCGATAAGACAGCTTTATTTACCGGATTTATAATGCATTTTCTCTGAAATAAAGCCGCATTATCGGATAGTGCTCTGTTCCAAAATCCACCCCTGGTCTTTTCCTTAAACACACATTTTTAACTCTCCAAGCGATTCCGCAACCTTAATCTCACTTCGGGTTTACGCAACTTAACTGGTTTCCTCTATCTATCGCGCTCTACGTAATCGATTCCCTTAACGATCTTGAAATCCTGAATGAGGTCGCACCCCCCCCCCCCATTTCGGTCTCTCGGGTGAAAGTCATATAATATTAATTAGTCTCTTATATAACTTTTGTTATATAAGAGACTATGCCTCTGGACCCTCTCGAGCGCCGTTAGGTCATTTTCATTGAATAGGGTCTGACCAACGCTGCATGCAACGAAGAAAACTCACAATTCTTATCGGCGATTGTGCCCGAAATCACAATCGGCCACTGCATTCGTACCTGATAGCGGATGGGGACGATCTCTCAGTCGATGCCCTCGTGAATTGGGTTTTCCAAGGACATGGGGAATGTTGAGGGTCGGATAATTGGCAGTCATTTTCACGATTGATCTCATCCAGCCAATTGCGACAATGAATTCTTTGTAAACGCAAACTGACAGCTGACCTTTGGACGGTTCGACAATTGAACTTGCAGAACCGACGATCTTCGTAGGAGTAATTGATCAAGCGTTGAATTTCGCAGTCCCATGTCAACGATGTCTAGACTAAATTATTTTCACGCTACTTCATGTCGTGATGAAATCTTTTGAGTGCATTGGACCGTAACCTTCTCGTGTCAGTGTTGAGGTTAGTGCTCATACTTGTTAAATTTCAATTTTTGAATCCTGCGGACATGAGAGGGGGAGGGGGGGGCAGTCCTCTCGCTTGTTTTGAATTTGAATTTTTCCCCAAGAGGAAATGGGTGGAATGAATCGTTTCAGTTTCCGCCTTTGCCCTGTGCGTGGATTCTTGATTTACAAGGCNCTCAAGAATCACCTGCGGGACAAGGCCTTCGACGATCGAGCACAGCTCGAACATGTCGGCCGTTTCTTCGCTTCGCAATCGCCAGAGTTCTGGGCAAAGGGCATCGAGCAGTTACCCGTGCGTTGGGAACATGTCATAGACGACAATGGTCATTACATTGTAGACTGAAATTGAATTTCAATAAAGTTATAAAATGTTGAAAAAATTTTGCGCAGAGTGTTGCAAGACTTTCTTTCCAACCCAATAAATGTAAATTACCTAAAGGCACTTCGGGGACGCTGCGAAGTCGCTAAGGGTCACATAAATCGCTGGGTCAACAATTCCCAGTTTAGGATATTCTTATCTGATGAGAGCAAATCCAATACGCCCACTTTCTCGAAAGGGGGGAGACGTCTCATGGTCAGGGCCATCAAGGTCATCAAGGCCAGGACGCAATCTGCGTCCTGGCCTTGTAAATCAAGAATCCACGCACAGGGCAAAGGCGGAAACTGAAACGATTCATTCCACCCATTTCCTCTTGGGGAAAAATTCAAATTCAAAACAAGCGAGAGGACTGCCCCCCCCTCCCCCTCTCATGTCCGCAGGATTCAAAAATTGAAATTTAACAAGTATGAGCACTAACCTCAACACTGACACGAGAAGGTTACGGTCCAATGCACTCAAAAGATTTCATCACGACATGAAGTAGCGTGAAAATAATTTTTCAAAAACTTTCCCTTTCTTCGACGGAACCAAACCCGACTCAACCCATCCGCTCCCTTCTCTGTGGGACTCGATAGCGTGAAGCCTTAGCCTAACCCTCGGATTGTTTTCAGCTTAGGCCTAAGCTGGCCATTTTTGTTCGGCTAATGATCTCGTGGGTCGACGAGGGCCTGTAGGCCTAAAAGGGGTCAATGTCTGGGTTGGAGAGCCAGCTCAGTGCGAATTTTTAACTTTAGGCCGAGTTCTTACTCCTGCTGTAAAGCGTCCTGGATCGAATGGAAACGAGTATTTTTTCCAGATGCTGCATCTGCTGCATGCAGCGGGTAGTTTTGCGGTCCGTTAACGGTCTGCTGCTGCGTACTGCATCGAGAACGAGTAACAATAGGCCTATCTGAAGTTCCTCGAACCATCTCAACTCAGATTTCTGCGCGGGGACTGCCTTCGACATCCAAATGCAGTTGGGCGCCATCTTCGGCAGTGATGTCGATTTCCCACCTCATCGATCGGCCGCCGTTTGCCACTGTTTCAACCTCATCCGATGAACTCAGCTGGAAAATGCATAATCCATAAATAAATTAAAAATTAAAAAATAAATAGTAGAAGATCCAAGTACTGATACGAAAGCAGAAGTAGTCACGAATCGGACACGACTCCAGCAAGATATCCGGCAACCGTGGGGGACGAGACTGGAGCCGGCTCGATAGGCCTAAACGAACGACTAATTTCATTCCTCACAGCGAAATGGTGCATCGCCAACACGGGAAGGGCACGCATCTCTTGCTACACGTCAATATTATTTTTCTGGTTGAGTTACCTCCTAAAATCCTCCAAGTGGGGGAAAGGGGGGAATCAGAATGAAATTCAAAGCTGCAAATAACGATTAAAAATGCTTTCTCCAGAACCCCAGCTCTCGTCTCTCCGCACCCAGCTGACAACCCTAACAGCAAAGTCCCATTCCTCATTTCATCTCATTTCAGCGCGAACCAGGAAGGGCATGAGAGAACCCAACTTTTTTTTTTTTTTGCTGGGAAACCGGAAAAGTCGAACCCCGCTTTTTCCCACCAATCACACCACCACGCCCCCCGATCCCGTAACGCCATTACGTAATGTCATCTCAACGTGACGTCATCTGCCGAGATGACGTCACCCACCGACCTGCACGGGGGCGTGGAACGTCCTGGCCATCTCCCCCAGCGCCTCCAGGCTGGCCTCCGTGCTCGTCACCGCGAACCTCGGCGTCACGATCCCCTTCACCAAAGGATCCTGTTCGAAGACGAAATCGCTTCAGAAACGGAAAAAAAAAATCAAATCCACTTTTTTTCCCCTCTTTTACCCCTCACGCCCGTGCAAAAAATGTCACCGGTGATTCAACAGAAAATCACCTTCAAATTTCTGGCTTCAATTTCATCATGTTGAACTTTTTCAAGGGCGGCAGAGACGCTTGCTCGAAACAATAAAATTCGGGAACTTCTGAGGATAAACTGAAAAGATATTCCGGAATGCTTCAACTCCATGATGAAACCTCTACAACAAATGTTGAGCTCTGCACCTTCTCGGAAGTCGCCGCCTCGCTCGTTTCACGCGGAAGCGAATGGCCACGCCACCGCCATCTACCGAGTAATTAAGGAAGCTTAAATTCTCCCGCGCGTCGGGAAGCGAACCGCCTCGCGTGTCCTCTCGCGGCCGCTCGATATAATTCACCCTCGAAAACCCGCAGGACCCGAACGACAACCTGCACTCTCGCCGGATTGCAGCGATGACGTCACGAAACGCACCTTTTGGTCCTCGGTCCACCGAAGAAAGTCCCTCGCCTCCCGGATCCCGGACTGGGTGTCCTCGACGTAATACTCGGGGGAGTTCCGATCCATGCTCACCTTCCCGACGAACGCCCTTTGACCCGCTCGCTGGCAGGCTCTGAACAGTTCCTTGCTGCTTTCGGTGTGAATGGTCCCAAAGTAGCAGGCCGTCGTCGTGCCGTTCCCCAACGTCCGTTTCTAGATGGAGCCACGATCGGATGAAGCCACGATCAGATGGAGCCACGATCAGATGAAGCCACGATCGGATGAAGCCACGATAAAATTGAGTCACGATCAGATGGAATCACGAAGGCATTCGATAATAAGCAGGTCAGAGGACTCACGACGCATGTGTTGTAGGCCGTGCTCGCGAAGTCCAGGTCCAGGTACTTGGCCTCCAGGGGGAAGGTGTACCGGTCCAGCCATTCCAGCAGCGGGAGATCGAGGCCGATGCCGATGTTCGGGTATTGCGAGGCGTGCGTGTGCACGTCCACGAGTCCCGGGGTCAGGAACCACCTTGACGGCAAAAACACCGACGAATTTTACCGGATGCTGGATTCGAGAACGCAAAGAAGAAAATTCCCGGATTTTCTTCGAAACGACTCACGCTTCCGGGAGGACGGAGACTTCGTCGATCTCGTACCTCCCTCGAAGGTCGTCCAACTCGCTGCTCCTCCCCACCTCCACCACCTGCGCAGAGCGAGAGGCTTCGCTAGAATGAAAGACGCTGGATGACCCGGAAAGACCTTGGCCTTGCGAAGCCGCGCCGATTGGATGATTCCAGTCACGTGACTCGGATCGTCCAATCGGGAGGCCTCCTGCCGCCAATTTCTTCGTTCACGAGCGCCGAGAGCGCGAACCAACAGGAAGAATGGGAACCAAAACGGCTTCACCTCCTGAGACCCTCAGATCTGAGGATCCCAAGACTTCATCGACCTCGACAGGACACTTAACGATCCTAGAGGTCACCGAGGAAAAACAGACTGAAGTCCCTTTGCCGCTCTAGAATTCCTTTCAGCTTTTATTCTTTTTCTTTTGCTGTGTTCATCGAACCCTGCCATCGATCGCATCCTCTCCGGAAATGTGCCAATGTAAGAACTTTGACGAGAGAGCAGGACGGGTCTTAGAGGGCAGCGAGGACGGCCGAAGCCGTCATGCAACGAGCACGCTTCAAGGATTTCTCAATGCCAACACGAAAAAATTGCTGACGTCTGGCGGATGCCCCTGCCCCCCCCCCCCCCCCCCCCCCCCCCCCGCCCCACCCCCCCCCCACCCCCCCCCCCCNTCCCCCCGTCCCCCCCCCCCCCCCCCCCCCCCCCTCAGCCCATCACGTGGCGAAGGCCCGCTGCAGTGCAACTTCACGAGTGATCGGTCCCGCTCCTTCGCACGTCGCTTTTCTCCGTGGAAGCTTCTGCCAACACCACGCAAACTTCCCAACAGGCAAGTCGCGACTTCAAATGAGTTCGAGCTCGACACGATTGGATTTAGAGAAGGCATCAAATACGTTTCGGCCTGTCATTCGCTATGAAGACTTCCGGCCCGGAAGTCTTCACGGCGATATCCGGATATCCGGGCCTGCCAGATATCGTGTTGGATGCAAGACCCAAATTTTTCAACAATGCTATTTAATTCCAATCAAAGCCAAATATTTCAAGCATAACATTCAATCACAATGCTTCCAAGATATTGCAATTTATTGCAACGAATTTTCGTTCGCCCACGAACACGGTCCAACAAAAATGAACGACAGTTGCCTTTTGCTGAGCTCAAATGGCCCACGAATGGCCCACAAAGGTGAGAGTGGTCTCATGTCGACTGTCACGGTCTTGCACAAAAATTTAACATGTTAATTGATTGATTAATTAAAAAGTTAATTCGTTCCCCCCCCCCCCTTCCGATGCTACTTATTTAGTGCTTTCCCTCGGATCTCATCGACATCTGATTATTAATTGTATTTTCTCTTAATTAAAAATTAATCCTGAGTTCTTCGCGTCTGTTGAAATTTTGTCACCCGCGGGCGTGGTCCAGCGTGTTTGACCTCTGTCGGAAATCGAAAGACCCCCAAGGTGAGATGGAATCGGCAGGGATGAAGGCGCCAAGGGCGACAAGGGTCCTTTGTGCCCTTCGAATCATTGATGACTCCGCGATCCTCTTCGGCGTCTCGTTGCGTCATTGTATCGTTCAGGGTCGCACCGGTCCGTCCGGAAACGCGTTCGATGACGCAATCGACGTCGCTTCTCGGCGGTGAGAATCCAATCATTTTCACAAAGTTTCGCAGAAAGGACTCGGGAGAGAGCCATCTGCCAGAGACATGGTATCTATAGATATACTTAGACTGGACAGGCCAATGGAGAAAGCCAGGCAGCCGCACGCCGATTAGAAGGGTCAGCCGCCATCGCTTTCCAATGCATGACGTCACACACAGGTTTACGCTTTCCAAGAAGACCGCGTAGGCCTAGACCTAGGCCTACCTGTCTTCAGAGACGATGCATGGTATTTTGAAAATTGATTAATGCCACCTATTCCGTCTTTATTTTCATTGCACTCAATAATAAGAGGGCGTATTATCAGTTTCCCATGCAGTTAGGCTCTGGGTCTACATGAGGCTGTTCAGCAGTGAAAATTCCGCCACACCTGAGGTTAGACCCCGCAAAAGGGTCAATAGTTATAAAGCCAGATTCATCATTGTAAGACCTGATACCCAACCCAGTCAGTGGTCTTTCATAGTATACGAATCCTGAACACCTTGACCATGTGCGCCTCAGTGAATCCCATGTCTCTAGCATCTGCATTTCCCGTTATTCCCTCCGCCATACTTCCCAGCAGACGACGGAGGCTTCTTTATTTAGCGCTAGCAGACGACAAAAGCGGCAAAAGTGCTAGCAGACGACGGAGACTTCCTTATTTAGACTCCGCCGCCAGCGTGAATAGTCCCATTAAAAAGTCCAGTTAAATGGCCCCGCGACGGCTGGCGTGGGGCTTTCACGGGCCAAATCGCTAGTCTCTTTGTCGGCTTAAATCAATTGTAAAATATGGGCTTAGCATGCGGCGCGGTCCGTTGGGACGGGCGAAAGTCATCGGTGACTTCGAGGATCGACTACTGCCGCGTTCTCGTCCAGATTTCCGTAAAATTAACCTTTCAGGAAATGCGGTCCGTTCCATTTAAATCTAGAGTCCAGACCTTTCATTCCGAGATTTTTTTTATTTCTGACGCATAAAACTCTGAATTTAAGTCTTTCAACTCGGATTCCCGATTGAAATATCAGGGCGGAGTCATGGCTTCCCTCAGCCATGATTTTACTCAGGGAAGAGGCCCCTCGGTGCGTGACGTCACGCCAACGGTCGACATATGTCGGCATCACCTGGTGAAATTTTTTTAATTTTTTAAATTTTCTCTTACGAAAGAGACTTGAAACCCTTTCATGCGACCATGCAGCCGGAAGAGGAAATGGAACAATATGATAAACATTTTAAAATATATATACATATCGATAATATTGAAGAGGTGACGTGACGGACCACGTGGTCTCGCTTCGGCCAAGCGATGACGTCACGGATATCGTCGGCGTCAACCAGCCCGAATCACTCGGCGCATTGACGTCGATTTTATTATACACGCGTGTGTTTGAAAACTCCATCGTCAGCATAGCCGAGCGCCGACACGCACTCTCTGAAGAATGAGGCGGCCATGACACGATCGTTCCACGGTCATGACGCGATCGTTCCATGGTAATGACACGATCGTTCCATGGTCACGGTCTTCTTGCACACGGAAGCGAGATGTAAGGTTAGGAATCTGGAAGCGTGCTGGATTTTTTTGCGTAGGTCGTGCCATGCATTGCACAGAGCCCCCCTACCCGCCCATCAGCAATTCAAGGGCTGTAAATAATTCATGAGATAATTGTCGCCTAGAGCGGTTGCTGGTACTTGCCAGTACTCGCTAGTATTCGCTGGTGCACGATGAGTTCCCGGTGTTTGTCGTTCGGAATCCCTGGAACGACAGGGAAGCACTCGTTCGCCGCTGGGGAAAGCCAATCTGAGTACTCATTAGTACTCGACGGCAAGTATCACGCGGCGACGAGCGTTGGGAAAGTACTTGGGATTCCTACAGCCCGGCGCGACAAGCCGCGTTTCATTCGGGGCCCCGAGGCGACACGTGGAGCGAGAGGAGAAAGAACTTGCCTTGCCGTTTTCCACGAGCACGAGGGACTCGGGAACGATGGAAATCCCGGATTCGCCCGGATTCACGAGAGTCCCGACGAACGCCTCCATTCTCGCCTAAACTCACCCTAAGGTCGTAGGAGAGAGAGAAAGAGTGAGGAAGGGGGGAGAGAGAGAGAGAGAGAGAGAGAGAGACAGGCGTGCATCCAAGGCCTTCTGCATCGTGTGACAGCCCGGATTTCGTTTCGTGTCTCGCTCTCACCCCATTCCGTGGGGAAGGGAGCGGGCGGATGCTCGAACAGGGATGCCGTCGGCTTAGGCTAATGCCGTCGGGGTGCAGCGTATCTTCCGAGTGACATACTCCATAGATATCCGATTTTTTTTCTTTCTTTCTGGTTTTAGGAGAACGACGTTCCGAAATTGTCTCTTGATCCTTTTCCGTCTGATTTTTTTCCCCTCATGGCATCATGCAGTGTTGCGCAAGACCACAAGCTACTCGGGACTTATTAGCAAAAGCCTTGGCGGTCTGACGTGAAATCCATCCACCAACAATTGCGAACGTCTCCGACGCGATGCATGAATGTACATGCTGCTTGCATGCAATCCCATTTCTGCATTCGGATAAAACCGCAACGAAAGTTCTTCGCTGATGCAACCACGTGACTCTTGCACGTAGTCCACTGATTTCCCTGAATTCATCAAGTTTTTCTGAATGAGCAGTGTTGCCCAATCTCCAGAGTGGCTCCCCATCCCCCACCTCCCGCGGGAAAGAGTAGCCTATGTTCTGGTAAGATTCTATCGCGTTATTTCGTCGGGCAGCGAGGAAACGACAGTCTGAGTTCCAGTTAACGAAGCAGAGAGTCTGAATCAACACGAAATCATAAACATCTCTTTTATAATATTATGACAGCCCGACCTTCTCGCTGATTCGGACGATCCAGTCCGAGCGCACACCCCGTAGTTCCTCTGCGACACTCTAGATGGCAGTGCCGGCGAGTCCCCCCCCGACATCCCGCGCCAGTCCGTCTCTGACTCTCCGCCTTGCACCTCGTGCGCCTCAGGCGATTCCGTTATTCATAGTACTGGAAGCAGTAGTGGACGTACTCGTCCAAGACTTTGACTTGTCGTAAGAATCCGCCTCGTTTAAACTGTGTCATTCCCAGGACTTCCATTCGAGTTGGGCATCGAGGCCTAGTAGCTATTCAGGCCTGTAAGCAACAGTTTTTTTTTTACTCATGTTTAGTGCCTAGGACCAGTGGAGTATTTTGGCTGAAGGGTCAAGGGAGGCAAACCCCACCCGGGGTGAGAAAAGGTGAGAAAAATTATTTCCTCCAAGGGAGCGCCAGGGGGGGGCGGCTGCCCCACCTGCCCCCCCTGTAAAATGCGCCACTGCCTAGGACGTTCTCTCGGCCTTCGAGCCTCAAGATTTTTCGAGGTCGTTTCAACATCCCGAATGTTGACCAATTTCTAGAATCTAATTTCCATATCCGATTCGTGTTGGGCTCTGCGATATCTCACTTTTGTCTTCACTTGTTCCAGAAATGCCCTTTGATGCCCTTTGAGGTCCTTTGATGCCCTTTGAGGTCCTTTGATGACAACTTGCATTTCAGCCAACGCCTGGCAAAAGTTCGCAACGCTCTTTGAATATTTTTGCAGTCACACATTCAGCCGACCGAAAGAGCTGAAATTTCTTTTACGCCATCTCTTGCCAAAGATGCATGCGATTTCTGCACTATTTTTTATTTAATTGCTCGGTTTTTTTTTTATAGGCGGAAGTTTCATGAATTTTCTAAATCTCCTCGCTTTAATTTTATTGCATAAAAAAACTAATTCGCATGGCTAACTAATTTTTTCCCAACAAGAAATCCACTTATAATGAGGCTCTATGGGAGTTTGGAGCAAGCAACGATATTATTAGGTGCTTCAACCTGAATTAAACAGTGAGAAAATTACTCACTCTGAAACAAACTCAGTCACATATTTTTCATTTGTTTTTTTTTTTCATTAAATTTTTTATTTATTTATTTTATATTTTTTTCATGTTTCAATTTCTAATCGAAAATTTAAACAAATTAAATTAATTAATTATCATTGTTATTTATATTTTAATTTTTTTTTAACCTCCTCGCCCCCTCGTCTCTCCTCGCCTTTGCCTCCCCGTGTAATCCGCACGTGTTTCGGATACTTCCGGCATGAATTACTCCCAGGTACAGGTACTTGCACCGCCTGGGGCGCGAAGATCACCGCTTCGGTACTGCGTCGACAAACTCAACGGTGCCAAGGACTGGAACCCACTATTTTTTATCGTGAGGGAAAACAAGTTTTTCATGAATAGAAGGTCAAGGCCCCTGTCCTGACCATCCCCCGATCGACCTCGCCACGTTCCGGGGAAGGTCCACAGGGTCCACGGGGTCTACCACAGGGTCTACCACAGGGTCCACATCTGTCATTCGGGATGTTTCATTGGAATCCAATGAAAATGGTTTTGGACGCTGCAGCCTCTAGCGTTTCCTCTGCGCTCAAATCCATCCAAATTCGTCGAAAATTCGAGGCCCAAAATTTCCAGGCGCCTGAAATTCCAGCCGTCAGAGGGCAGTCTGCACGCATTTCATACGAATTTTTCCGCCTTCGTCGGCATTCCAAACAAAAACAGTTCTCGACTTTTGATTCGTTGGCGCCATCTCTTCGCTCTCGAGGCATGAGGTGGTGCCTACTTGCTGGTAATTAAGGTAATTACCAGCTAGTTTCACGTCATTGCAATTAAACGTTTTTACCTAATCTTCCAGAAACGAAATAGATTTTGCAAGGTGTGAAAATTTTCGTCGATCAAAATCCTTCGTTTTCTCGACGCAGCGCTCGTCTCGCTGCAGAAAAGTCGCAACCACATCTCATTCGGTACATAATAATATATAAATAATATATATATTTTTCACTCTCCAGGAGCGGGAGGGAAAGCGGAAGGCCCGCCATCCCCAGTGGGGATTCCCCGACTGTTTTCGGCCCTATCCGCCCTCATCTGAGATGGACCCGATACGAGGCGGGTGACACCCCCCTGCAGACAGGGGGGGGGGGGGGGGGGGGG